ATCTGTGGAGCTGGAAGCTGAGAACTGGCGACTTTGTAGTACAACTTGAGTACGCGGAGTATGAAGATGAGAACTGGCCACTTTCTAGTACAACTTTAGTACGCGGAGCAATCTGTGGAGCTGGAAGCTGAGAACTGGCAACTTTGTAGTACAACTTGAGTACGCGGAGTATCTGGGGAGCTGGAAGCTGAGAACTGGCGACTTTGTAGTACAACTTTAGTACGCGGAGTATCTGGGGAGCTGGAAAATGAGAACTGGCAACGTTCTAGTACAACCTTAGTACGCGGAGTATCTGGGGAGCTGGAAGATGAGAACTGGCGACTTTGTAGTACAACTTTAGTACGCGGCTGAGTCATCTCTCGCGGCTGCTCTGGCGCCCCTGCAGCTGAGTCATGTCTCCCGACCACCCAGCTCTCTTGAGAGGTTGACAAATTTTAGCTACTTTGCTCACTCATAAGTGGCTGCCACAAAAGAGTCATCGTGACGTTAGTATATGTGTACTTCACCTTCATGACAAACGATGTTCGCTTGGAATACACGAGTCGCTTGTCATGATCGTGACGTCGTTTATTCTCAGGTCGCCCTGTTCGTGGAAACTTCAGTGTGAAATGTACGTTCTTCAGTTCTATTTGAACCTCTTCAGCGTTGTACTTGCACAACTAAGGTTGACGTTGCGCTGCCGTTGCATCGACGCATCTACGTCTACGCCCCCTCACCTCTCTACATTTACATCTTCACACGCTCACATCCGCAGATCTACCTCTTCACCTCACCACACCCACACATCTGCACATCTATATCACATCTGTACATTCACACTGTCGCTCCTTCACATCTGTCCTGTCTTTCTTTCTTTCTACATATCTTTTCTCTCGTCTCTGTGCATTTACATCTTCGCACGCTCACATCCACAGATCTACCTCTCCACCTCCATGCATCTACAGATCTATATCGCACCTGCACATCCACACTGTCACTCCTTCACATCCACCCTCTCTTTCTCTCTTTCTGTACATCTTTTCGACAGTGCTGGACAATTACATGTCTCGCTCTCGGGCCAACCGTCGTCTAGTTAAACAACAGTTGGGCATGTATGTTTGGGACTTTATGCTCAATAACATTCATCGCTCATGTCCGGATACTTGCAGGACACTTTTCTACCAAGGGGTAGCTCATAGTTTGGTTACAAATCCTTGGTCACATTCCTTTTGGTTCCCATGCTGTCCAGGACAAATACGAAGCGTCCCTGAACATGCCCAGCAAGCATTGGCATTCAACACCATGCACCTGTGGCAGCTCTTGTTGCTTGTGTTGAACTGACAGTTTCTGACCAAGTGCCAACGAAGTTTGCCATAAGGTCACCAGCCCACAGCACCTCCCCAACCCACAAGCTGCTCAAAACATGGGGTCTGCGCCAATCATGTAGAACCGGCCAACTGCCAGTAAAAGCGCACTGTGTCCACATGCCCGGAAACCAAACGCAAATAGGCAGCACAACAAGAATTCCAGTCCAAATCAACAACAAAACCTCTCATAACAGCTGGATGATCAAACATCTTCAAGCCACCAGAGAAACCTCTGGAAACAAGAGCCTGAACATATTTTTCAAAACATGCAACAACCAGAACAGGTTAAACCAAATACAGAGGAAATGAATCACGTACAGAAATTCACCGCGCACTTCTGGCATAGCTGGGGTGCAACACTTCATGCTAATTGTACTTGTTGAAGCCAGCCGATTATGCCCAGTCATGTCAACCAAAAACACATTTGGCATTTGAGACAGGCTTAGAGGACGGGGAAAGATGAGTATGATTGAACAATCCCACGCGCCAAATTCAGCAGACATAGCTCAGAAAGAAAACAAAGTGTTATCCACACATTTTGGTGCCGAACTACACATTGATCCAAATTGGGAACTGCTCAGCTTATAGTCTATTGCCAAGTGACAGGTGAAGCCCGAAAGATGCACTGTGTTGTATTTTCCTATGATAATTATAATCATATCTTCGATTCACGATGGTTTTGGAAGTTCGTTTGTTAGTTTCACAAAACAATTCGGTATTTACAGACAACCCTTGAGGTGCTGACCTTATTGAAACCCACAGACTGGCATGTTTATAGAACTGTTTACTAGTCGCACATCCTTTCAGATGATCTTTGGTCCCTTGAGGTTTCCTCATTTATGTTTCTATGCATGTTTTAAACATCTTGAAACTATACAGACTATACAGCATACACACAATCATACACAGGTTACCCTGGAGAAAGCCGGCATTGGCAACACACTATCAAAGCAACTGTTTTTTTGATAATTTTGCCGTTGGTTTTAGGATGTTTTAGGGATGTGTAGTGCAAATGTCCAGCAACAAACGTTTGAACAGATGGCCGTAGATGTCTTAGATTTGGGATGAATTTAACTTTGAACCTTGGATGACGCTAGCAATGTCCTACAACACAATCCTCATGTTGGTTCGCATGTATTTCTCGTTGTGCACACTTGAGGTTTTGGAGTTCCAATGGATGCGAGGGTCTTGGCAAGTCTTGAGAGCCTTATGTCGAGTCTAGCCAACTTTGGCCGTTGAGGTTCGAACATGGCCCAAGCTTGTGATTGTCAGCCCGGACAATCAGATAAAGTGCGCCGATGCGAAAACAGTATTCAAACGTGTTCAAGAGTGCTAACAGTTGCAATTAAGATTGTCATCGTTCTGTCATTTGGACGCTTCACAGTTGCACGGCACCTGTGCCACACGCAAGTCTCCAAATCTCAGAGTCCTTGCCAGGTCGTCGGTGCACCTGACAAGACGCCACTCCCAATATGGCTTGCCACAATTTCCAATGCGCCATTCAGCCTCACAAATGACCCAAACAGACCCAGCTTTCAAGACTCCTGAGAAAAGAAGATCCGTTGAAAGTGAATCCAATGCAACGGATTTCAAGAAGAAAGTGTAGAATTTTGCATGCCCTTGCATCCCTGGCATTTTCAAGCCCTGCATCCCCGCTACGTAGGTAGGTAGGTAACTACGTAGGTAGGCCCAGCTCTCCAACCAGACCTCCCAGACTCCCAATTGCGGCTTTGCTGATGCCAAAGCCTAAAGCCTAAGCCTTCTACTGAATGACTTGCTGTTCTGTGAGGAGCTGCTGAATGACTTGCGTGTTCGCGCTGCCCAACTTCGCTTTTCTCCTTGCTCAATACCCTTGCAGGCAGTCCAGCAAACGTGCATATTTTTCACAGTGGGCAAAGAAGTTTCCAGCGGCAAATCCAACTAACGAAAAAGACAACATGAGGTTCCAACCAGGTTTGCAGTAGGCTTCGTGAGACCAATGGCCTCCCTGTTGCGACACAACATTACTTGAGGGACACCCCAAAGGGTCTGCGCACACATCTTTGTGTAAGAGGGTGTAAGAGGTGTTTTGCATAGAATTATGAGCGCACCATGTAAAGCAGTATATTGAATGACCAAAAGCGATACCCAGGTCCACCTCAATCATGTGATTCAAATCGCATTGCTGTAAATCCTGTACACATAGGGATACCTGAGCAATATCCAAAAGTTGTTAAAATGTTGTCTAGATAAGGGGAGCTCCTATCCTCAGTAGATGGCGGGAGAAGGAAGGGTTGCTATGTCAATAGAATAGAATGATTATTTACATGCATACTGTGTATCTCTCTCCCTCTCTTTCTCTAGCCATATCCATGCGCGGTTCACTTTTGTTGTGTTCTCAAGAGAAGGTCTTTAGAAGGATGGACCAAGCGTCCAGGACATTGTCAAGCAATACGGCGAATGTCCAAAAGCGATACTGTACCTAAACACGCCAGTGTTGTAAAACATTCAACTTACAAACGCAGGAGTTACTTCGGCCATGCAGTTGTCACTACCAGTGAAAGTGATCTTAGCAGTGCACAAGACATGAGAAGTGATGGTTTTGCTGGCCGATTATAGATGATAGGCGATGGTTCATCATGCAGGTACAACGATGCAACCCAGCTGGTGCAAAACTGTAATGAGGAGTGAAGGGCTTGGACTGGGAAAGAACTTTGCAATCAAAAAGCTGGAGAAGACGTTGTCAAGTTCCATTTGCACTGCAGCAAGTGCTTTCTTCGTCAAAGGCCATTTATGCAAATTGTAAAGACCAAGGAAGAAGCCATGGGCATTTGGCGCAATCTTGGCAAGTGCTTGGAATGAAGCAATCATCAAGAGGTTCCGCAAATGCACGCCGGAGGGATTTTTGTCAACCTGTCAAATGTTGACACAGGCCAGATCAATGAGCACAAAGGGCTCCAATTAATGAGGGGGTTCAAGAGTGGAAGCAGCGCGAACCGCAGAGTATCTCATGACAGGCGCTTCCAGACACTCTTTGGTGCTGCTTGGATGCCGCCGCATTGAAAAAGCCTGTTTGTGGTGCTGGGCACAAGGGATGTTCTACTGGAGATTACTGGAGTTTATGTCCATGTCGCAACAAAAGATTCAGGGAGGCAGCAGGCGGGCTTTTGCTAGCTGCTAGCAACTGCTCATCGTAAAATTGGTACTGCAAGGGCTGCAGGCTGCAGAGTCTAGCTTTCTTTTCACAGCATGACGCCATGCCATGCCTCTACAAATAGAACAAGCGCAATAAGACAACAAACATAACACAACATGCACAATCATCACAACATTAACAGGTGGTGTTTGTAACTTCCGTTGAAAGAGCAAAGACCTTTCGGACGCCATGGTTCGAACTGGTGACAAACAAGGTGCACAAGACGTCAACTTTGGTGGTTCTTCAGCCAGTCTTTGAAACGTTTTGAAACCTGAATTCTGCAAGGTCCAAAACGAACGATTCGCAACGGCACTCGTGTTTTGGTGCGAGACTTGCCAGAGAAGACACTTGGACATGCACGGCGGAAGGTGTTCAATCAGTGTGAATGTCATGTTTGATGTTGTTGAAGTCTCAAGCCCATTCCCAAGGGTCCGCAAGACATCCCTGCAGTCAGCTTTCGGAGATTTCGGCAATGTAGTACGCATTGACGCTTGGTTGGCACCAACATAACATTGTTTCTTGGGAGACTGACGTGGCTTTGCATCAATAGCCCCGCAATGTTATTGCCTCAGATACAGTATGTGAACTTGCTGAGGAGCTGATGCCAGAGCAGCGAACAGCGTATATTGAGTATGAGGAGCCCTGTGATGCTGAAGACGCTGCACGAGAAATGGATGGAAAGATGGTGGAAAAGTCCAAGGTTCGATTCTTGGCCGAAGCATGAAAAGCAGGTTGAAAGCTTATGAAGGTGTAGCTGTAGCTGTAGCTCACCGTAGGTTTCAGGCTCTGTTAAGCCAGGTGTCGCTCACTTGTATCCATGCAGCTCTGGCTCTCAGGGCTGGGCGGGTGGGCTCTCCGTCTCCGTGCTGCATTCGGGAGCGAATTGAGCGATGGGGGATGACGAATGTTGAGGAGGCCGAAGGTTTTCTTGGTGAGACATTTGAAGAGCTGATCAATAGGAATGCTTCTGAGGATCTTGATCGACCTGATGTTTTTGGGCTGAGCTTGAAACACTTGATCTCGAAAATGTCATCTTTGCCTTCACATGACATTGAGATAGATGCTGATCACGAGCCCTCGATCGCAGCAGGGAGCGCAGTTGAGCCTGAGCCTGAAGTTCTTCGAGTTAGAGACTCTCAACAGCAGTCTTCAAAACCTGTAAGTGCAGACACTTGGAATGGCACTGTCAGTGCCGCGTACAGCCGCTACAAAGGACCAATTGTTCTTTGCTTTTGCCCTGGGAGACTGGAGCGCTCGGCGATGTTTTGGCCAAGAGCATTCAACCAAAGCTTCCTTCAATTGCATGTTTCATCGAGTCTGCACCGATGCCGGATGTTGAATCCAGCCCGTCAACCAGTGTTTCGTCATGTGTCACATTGGAAGTAGGAGTGTGCTACAAACACGCGATTCGAGATGTCAAAGACATCGCGTACTTCGAGAGCAAGATGCAGTTTTTTGACAAAGGCAGTAGGTGTTTGGTTGGATCCAATTTCCTGTAACTGGGAATCGGGAAGGTTCGTCTGTGGGTTCATTGGTATGCCAAGATCTTAGAGCAGACCCGAGCGGTTCGTGTGCCTTCGAAACCTTGATGTCATGCTTTGGGGCGAAGAGCCCAAGTACGGTTATGAAACGTGCTTCAACGATGAGGAGGTACTGCACTTGGCATTGCATGGAGCACGTGGCCGACTGCGACATTTGGTCCTTTTTCATTCATTAAGGGAGGTTTTATTGCGCCGTCCACCTTCTTGGAGAGAGCTCGCTTCTGCAAATGCACTCTCGGATTGGCGTCTCTTGGGTTTTGCAGCAATTGAGAAGCGTGAGAAGAGACCAGCGCGCCAAGCACCAATTCTTGAGATGGAGCACATCCTTCGCCTGCGTGAGGTCCCCCAGGTAGGCACAGACTTGGTTGATCGTTTGGACGCAGGTGCTTTTCTGATTTGCATCTATGGAAGGGCCCGGTGGTCCGAGGTGAGGCACATTCAGAAAATTGAGCTAGAGAGGCGCCGCAACGGTGCATTGACCATTTACATCACAGAGCGCAAAACATCCAAAGTAGGTCTTCGAAGAGAACATTCCTTTCGAGGTGTTGTCAGCCACGAGTGGGTAAGCGCATTCCCAGAAGTGTATGCCGCCTGTGGCCTAGAAATCAAAAAGCTACCACTTGCCGGCACCACGCTTGGGTGGCGGATTCGGCGCAAGACCTTTGAGCACTGGAGAAGCGTCCCAATTGCGGTTGAGGCTCCTCCTCAAAAAAATAATGCTGATGAGTATCGCTCGCCGTTCGCTTTCACTTAAGGCAACACTGCTGAATTGGTCAGCAGAAGTTCGAGCAGCGCTAGGACACCGCAGCTCTCCCTTCTGTGGATCTGATGGTGTGTATTCCCGTGAACTTCAGACACAGCCGATTCGTAAGTTGCAAAGGCTTTTGAAGAGTGTTCGGATAGGCCGCCTTGGTGTCTTCTCGGCGCAAGACAGACTGCCCACTGAGGTACATGTACCAAGCAGTGGGCGAAGCAATCGAGGCCATCAATTTAGAGGCAGATGCAGAGAGTGTGTGCCAATTCTTTGGAAGCATTTTGCGCAAGAGCTCGCGCGTTTTAGCTTATAGAATTGGGAGCTCAAGCGAGGGCGGTGACAGCTCGAGCGAAGAGTCAGGTTTCGATACAAACCCTGGTAGCGGGGAAGCAGAAGCCTTCATGGAGTCAGTGCCTGTGGGGCACGAGTTCTTCAGGCATGTCAAGAGTCAAGAGCTCAATTGCGCACGATGCCATCATCGGAGCAAGCAAGACTAGTTGTGGCAGATCTCTGAATCAGAACTTCAAGAGTCTAGAGAGGAGTGGCTGCATTCGTTTCCCCAAGTGCCAAAAGAAAGTGCCTCGCTCAAAGTGGCCAAGGGTCCGTTGAACGAGTCGGAGAAAACTTTTTCTAGGGTGGAGTTTGCGGAGTGCTCTTTCCAAATTTTCTGGTTGGGTTTCAACCTTTTGTGTTTACCTTGTCTTTACTTCTTGCATTGTTTTCACTTGTGGAAACTTTCAGCCTGATGTACTTCCATTTGTGCACTTATTTTGGGAGTGGAACTTGGACACTTTGTTTGATGGAAATCTTTATAATATTCTGGTTTTGCGGAGTGCTGATTAGTGGGGCGCAACACGCTTTCATACAAGAGGCCTTTGGCAGGAGTTTTTCAGAGGAGTTGGAGAAGCAGGCGTTTACTCGGAGTGAGTTGAACACGCGATTTGAGGCTCAATGGCGCAGTGCGTGATTTTTGGTTTTTACGTGCAACGCTTTCCACGCTTGTTCAACATGGATCAAACCGCAACGACGCAGCTTTTGAACTCACCACGCTTTCAGATGTACTAATCCCACTTTTGCGCACAGTGCTTAGAAGAATGGCCAGTATAGTCGATAGCGAGGCCCAACTGGACGCAGGCTCAAGGAGCTGAACTTCGGTGACAGAGAGATCAGCGCGAACGGTGTGAAGACTCTTTCACATCTGGCTTTCGTTTTAGGACAGTCAGACACTCGAACGACGATGCGTCGACATTTCTCCAGAATGCATTGGCCGAGCTCAAACAATCCAGGAGTCAAATTCGATCAACCAGTTGATCTTTGAAGCCCAGACTTTTGCAGTTGCAGTGCTTCGCCAGGGCGTTGAACAGCTTGAAAGATCGATTACACGTGCCGAGAGAGACGACTCGAATGACCGCTGTGAAGCAGAGTTTGAGCGGCGTAGCAGTTGTAGGACAACTGGATCCAGCTCATGTTCTTGTGGAAAAGGCAGCGGCGATTTACGATAAAGTATCCCCTTCCGCGTAAGCAGGGTTCTAGAATCTCGATGTTAAATTTCAATGGATGTTTGATGTTTATGTCGGATGTTCTCGCGAAGGTAAGCGCATCTCGGGAGCTGTTCATATCCCAAACCTTGCGCCAAAGCTTCTTTATAGACAATCAGTGTGCGAAATCAAAAAGCAAGCAAACATGCTTCTCTTGTCTGTTTGCCGCCGTAGATGTGGCACAGGGGAGGCTGCCACTTGGCGCAGGGTGGGCCGGGCAAGATTGGCTTTTAACATCACGTCGCCCCCAAAAGCATAAAGTTAGAGTTGGTTTCTTTCAGTTTGATCTCCAAGAAGATCTTTATTTTTATTTTGTATCAACTTTAACTTTACTGTTTGGCGCCCGGAATTTGCAAAATTCCCTCAGTTTTTTTCCTTTCAGCCGGCGCCGCCGTGAGCTTCTGATGAGATGTTGCAGGCGCGGTTGAATTTAAATTTGCACGCTTGTCAATCGCAAGCGGAAAGGGTACCATTTGTGGAACAGTGGACGAACGTTACGACGGTATTTGATGCATTTAACCTTGTAGAAGCGGTTCAAATTCTTCCCTTTTGCGCGCGCAGATGTCTTTGCCTTCCGTGGAGTTTTGCAGCAGAAACTTGAAACTTGAAATCGGCCTTTCAATGGAATTAGTCCACCTGTCAGGACGTGGAGCTGGAAGATGAGGATGTGTTTGGTGATATGTCCGGGTGAACTGCTGCTGCTATGTCTTCCATGGAGCCTTCGCATTGCGTCAGCCGTGCCCACGATGTCCAAGGCGCGAAACAGGATAGAGGGTCGGTCCAACGGACATGGAGCGTACGGAGTTGAAGCTCCATTACGCTCTGGAGAGAAGGGCATTGCGTTGCAGTTTGGGCGTCTCATGTCCCAGGAGTGGCCGACTTTACTCATTGAAGCACTTCACGGGGACACCCCACAGCAGGGTACCTGCGTGCTACACTCGCACAGTTTGCGCAGTGTGACATGGCCGCATGGTCACGATTGGCGACCACCGCCGCCTCCGGCAACAAGCAGACGGCGCCTATATCCGTTGGGCGAAGCTCTGTTGAATCTTCGCATGGCTCCGCACATGTCGCTCCATCTTGCACCTTTGTCAAAGTCGTCCACCAGCACAACTGACAATCCATGGCGACCGTCGCCTTACACTAAAGGCCAAGGAAAAGACAAAGGAAAGAACAAAGGATTCAATCCCGTCAATGCCAGCATGAGACCGCACAAGGAGAGCCTTTAAGTTTATGCTTCGGATATAGCCGTGCTTCAGGTTGCCCCCGCAAGTCGGCCAAACACGGTGAGAGGTGTGTGAAGGGCTGCCGCTTGTGTTGCGAGCATAGCTGAGAAGCAAAGTCGGTTTTCACCCATCTCACCAATCTCACCCTGGAATGATTTGCATGTGCTGCAGCTAAACAGTTCGGTCTCGAGAGTAGCCTAGCCACCAAAAAACTTCGTAAGACAGGCACTCTCGCTAGTATGGATGTTCTCACCGCTTTTGCGTTGGAGCCATTTTTGCCTAAGGTCAGATGACTTTCCGCATGGGCTTCCCGGCCTACCCAAGAAGGATACTGAGAGGGCCTTGATGGTGAGGCGCCCGTCCGAGTACTGTCCGATGAGCTCTCGATTGTAGTTGAAAAACACTTGGAACTTAGTCCTGAACAGTTGGCGCTGTGTATGCTAATTAGAGCATCTGGACTGTCCGCCGCTGAGCTTGAGGATTCTGCAAGGCGTGACTCACATGTGCTCCTATACGGAAGAAATTCTGAAGGAAGTTGGACACCCTGATAGTGAAGTGATTGTGACTTCCTGCGACAGGGTTCGAAATTGGTAGGGGAAGTCGAACTGCGCCTGTTTTCAAAAAAACAGCTCACACAGCGAGCCTTTCGAAGGAATCGAGCCACAGTCATAGTGGGCGTGGCTGCGTCCTGTGGCGACGCCGAACTCGATGAAGCCGTCCTGAGCGAGACGCTCCTCGAGATAGAGCGTGGTTGGTCTGAGGAGCCTTTCGACTTGAAGGATCTTGAATCTTGAAGAAGGTGCAGTGATATCGCGCAGGTTCTCTCTCAGACAGGGATCGAAAATTAGGCTTACTTACGATTACTCGGTAAGCGGGGTCAATGGTTGCACCTCCAGTCATAACAATATTGATCTTCACATTATTGACACTTTTGCCTCGGTGATCCGTGAGTTCTTCATGAGGCGCCAGCAGGACGGCGTTGACTCGACCCTGCTTGCAAAAACTTACGATCTTAAGAGCGCGTACAGACAAGTGCCAATTCGTAGAGAGCGTCTGAAGTTCGCCTATTTTTAACGTTTACAATCACAAATTGCGCCAGCCTGAAAATGCTACCAATCGGGGCCACCCATAGCGTGTACAGCTTCCTCAGACTTGCGAGAGCTTTGCGCAGCGTCGCTGCAAAAGCTCTGCATGAACACCAGTTTATGACGATTTCGTATATTATTCTCAGGCCAGCGCACCTGCGAATCAGCGCCCAATGCAGTGGAACTTGCGTTTATGCTCACAGGCTGAGATTTCGCCCGAGAAGGGGAAAAGCGCGCAGTTCTCGACTGTTTGTCATGCCCTGGGTGTCGAGTATTATCTTAGTCGTTCGCCAGAACAAGTTCTTGAAGTAGATATAACACTGAGAAACGCAAACTCAATGTCAAACATCAACTCATCACAAGCTTGGACCGCATCCTTGACTCAAGAAACTGCTGAGAGGTCAATGGCGTTGTATTGCAGACAGCTTCATGCACGGTAGGCTAGGTCGATTGGTCTTGAGCCGTCTCATCGAGCACGCTTGTGGGACCCAATCCAGGATCAGCCAACCACTTGAGCACTTAGGTGGATGCTTGCCCGGATTTGCACCTCTAAGCCTACATCCGTCTGCGCACAGAAACTGAAACTATGCTACATTTACACTGACGCCGCTTACGAGCCAGAGGGCAGAACTGGTGGCCCCGGTGCTCTGGAACGCGCAATCTTTGGTGTGGAATCTTCCTTGATAGCAATGCTCGCGCATTAGCGACAATAATCTATGAGCTTGAATGGCTTGCGTCTGCTTTCGCCTTCAGGTTTTGGAAGAGAGAGAGAGAGAGACAAAGATCTCGGGAAACTTGGCGGTATGGTTTGGGGATAATGATGCTGCGCGCTTTGCTTTGATCCGTGGCAGCACCACAGGGGCATTGTTTGCAGAGGCTCTAACGCGTTTCTATCTTGCCAACAAAGCACAGTGCCCTTCGAGCTTCTGGTTTGCTAGAGTTCCGACAGAGAGTAGCCAGCGCAAGCCATAATCCTTCATGGCTTGTCGCCCGCTCCTGTCGGATGAGTGCTGCATTTCAAACAATGCCTTTCCAATCTTCAATGGTTTCCAAAAGAGTATCAGCAAGCACTGGCCCATCCGCTAAGACTGGGGTGAGGACATAGATGTACCCTGTTGCTCTAGAAGAAAAGGCGTGCCCTTCAGTGTTGCGCGTGTGACGCCCAACAAACTCCAGACGGTGAGCTGTAGGTGATCGAGCCGTTTCAGGCTCGGTTAAGCCGGGTGTCACTTGTATCCACGCAGCTCTGGCTCTCAGGTGGGCTCTCCGTGAAGCGAATTGAGCCAACCCCCGCAACCCTGAGTTTGTCTCTTGCTTCGCGCTGCTCACGGCCAGCGCTCAGCGCACTTGCAGAAAGCATTTTGAGCCTAGCGTTGAATGCGTGGCAGACATGTGATGCGGTTTTTAGTTAAAGTTGTGACTGCATTCCTTTCTCACGCTTTGAAAATCGACTCCGGCAAAATTATTCTTGCGATATATTCCTGCGGGGGCCTCTACCCTGGAACAACTTACGACGGGAGGGCCCATCATTTTGCTTCTAGAGCAACAGGGGTCCATGACGCCCTCAGGCCGGGGCTATGGCTATGGCCTAACTGCTGCGGCTGGCTCAAAATCAAAAAATGCTCACAATCATGGGGAACAGGACAGGTGTCACGAGGCTCCTTATGACGCCTTTCGTTTTCAAACCAAAAAAGAGGGCTGTCAGATCTGCGGATCTATGGGAAACGTGGCTCGGGCCATCTCGGGCCAAATGCTCCCCATTGCGTAGGGGTGATCATATCACGTGATTTCCAGGACGGCGAGCCCACGCCGAAACCAGGGCTACTAGGCGCCCCAGCCAAATCTTTCTTGTGGACTCTGAAGCTGTGAGATGTGTGACCTGAAGCTGTAGGAAGCTGTACGATCTGCGCCTGCAAAGGGCAAGTTTGCTTCCTGTTGTAGGTCTCTGCTCCGTAGACTGCTAACTGCTAAACTATTACTATTCCAGGGTCAATCACATCAATCCCGCCCCCAGTCCTTGGGCTTTCCTTTGAAACAGCAAGCAAAAAAGCGACACCAATTTCGGCACTAAATTCCTAAACTGGTCACACATTGTGGGCATCGCTGCGCCGTGCACATCCAATGGCACCCCATTGCCATTGACGTTCCACAATTACTGCGGCTGTCTATTCAAGCATCGATCTTGAATTCGGTAGCAAATCCAACAATGGACAAGATGAGCAGCAGGCGTTGACAGGCGGGTCCTTGCGACGGCCCACCCCGCCCAAGTCAAACCAAAGTCCTGAGTCCCCACACTCGCCAAGCAACAACTGATAGTTAGGTTTGAGTGTGCATCAATGCGTGTTGGGAGCCCTTCCCCGCGTCAAAGTTGCATCGTTTTGAGTTTGGGGTACGCCAGGCCCTGCCCAACCTCCAACGCAATTTCTGCTTGCGCAAACTCCTGGCTAGCCTTAATGGATTCTTCATCCAACGGAAACTTGATTGAGGCCAGGGCCAACGTAAATGACAGGCAAGGGGCAGACCTGTTCCGCCGCAACACCAGTGGGTCAACCTTTGAAGCTCTGCATCCTTCACGCAAGCCGGGTGGGACTGTAGAAGGCTCGACTGTGGCTTGGGAGATCCTGCACGCACAAGACAAGCCAGCGCTTGCAACAGAACGCGCTGAGATCGGAGTCGCACAGCATGCCCTGGCCACTCAGCTTCAGGGTCGCACATCTCACATCAACTCACACCTTCAGATTCCACAAAATTTTTTGGGGGGGCGCCTATCACCCAGGACCCCTGACCTGACAGTTTCTTATTCCCTGGTCTAAGGTCTGCTCCCAAGTTTTATAGATGCTTGCTGCATTGAATCGCGGTGAAAAAGTTTGATTGTGGTTCCTTGCTCGCCGCCTGCGCCTTTTTGCCGGTAAAGAGAACCATGTTGATTTTGCGTCAGACCCTACAAACCAACGACAGGTCGTTCCTTTTGTCAGCTTTTTCGGCTCGTGTTTTGGCTGGTGACATTGTCAGTTGTGATTGGGTTTTCACCGTGAGGCAAAGCAGTAAACGATTTGGTTTCCACACACCATTGGTCAGGCGTTTGACGAAAGACGCCGTTCTGCTTGAATTGGTTCCTAGAGCCAGGGTCATCCACCAACCGCCACTTTTCTGTAGCTGTCAACGCAAACAGACACCGACTACGGGAAGTTGCCTTTGCTTTTGCCCGCCTGTGATGATCACAGAAAGATTGCCTCACAAGGCCGGGCAATTTTTGGGAGCGCAAGAGGGTTGACTGATGAATTGACCGCCGCCTCCGGGAAAACCGCCAGGATGAAGCTGCAGATTTGCGGAAGCTCTAAGATTAGTGCCCCAACAGGGCAAGTTTGCATTCTGTTGTAGGTCGCTGCTCAGTAGACAGTAAACCCACCTCTGGAATTATTTCAGTCCTTGGGCCTTCCTCTGAAACAGCGAGCAAAGAAGCGACACCAAATCCGGCACTAAATTCCAAAACTGGTGGTGTTGTCGGTGGCTCTCCCTTGGATATAGATCATGGAGGCTGAAAGCGCATAGAAACGAAAGGTGTCACCAGGATCGCTGTGACACCTTTCTCTGTTGCATCCTGTCCTGTCAACCTCTGGCGGTGTGATCTAACAGTTCCGAAGTCCGGGTCTGGTCTATTGTCAAGTTTGGTTTCTGGGTCTGGCTTCTTGTGTGGGTTCGCCATCCTGTTTTTCACGTGGGTTTGCTGGTCTGAAAAGTTCAGCCGTTTTGCTGCCTGTTGGATCACTTGATGTGACCGGAAACGAAGAGGAATCAAAACGCAGAAGATCACTGTAGTAAAACTGAACCTGTGTTTTGGAATGTGTGTAAGATCACTTATAGACTGCAAGGCAGACATGGCTGTAAATTATTCCTGAGAGGTGTTCACATATAGATTAATTTTGGCCAGGTGAAGGTCCACCACCACTGAATAGTAAAAACTCTTCTGGGGCCCCATCCACCCTGGGGCCCCAGATGGTAGGGCCCATGAAAAACGCTTGCCTTTCAGTGTTGTTGTCCAACCAAATGGGAGACAGGCTCTTCTTTTCCGTTCGTTTCCGCAAACTATTGTGCTTCAACATGTTTCAACCGTGTGAACGTTCTTCAAACTAGCCCCGCCATACCCCACTCGTCACCCCACAAAAAGTGAGAAAATAATGTGTCATCATTTTTCAAAAAAAGAAACCAATGAATAAGACCTTTTAAAACATTTTTGAAATCGAAAGAGAATATGCCGACTGCAGACCGGTGAGAAGGGTTTGGGCACGCCGTGCACGTGAGGAACGAAGCTCATGGATGATCGGCCCAGAGCGGCCATGGACCATGCAATTCGAGTTCAAGAAGCGTGGCTGGGCAGCAAGCAAACACTGAATTTCAAAATGCACATCTTTTATGGCAATGTCATTTTTTCATTTTCACATTTCAATACAAGTGCGGACACTGTGAAGGCGTTTTTCCAGTCATTCTCGAGAAACAAGAGAGCTGATTCCTGCGTCGACACTGGACCTATGTAAGGTGTTTGGCTCACCTCGAGTCTCGTGCCGCTGAACATCAACAACGGTTTTTTGGTCACTTGCTTAGCGGCTTGCTTACGCATGCCCTTCCTAGCTATACACATTGAGCATCGGTACTTGAGCAGATCACGTTCTTTATTCACCTTGTGCGCTAGGTGACGGGCCAACGAATTCACGAGGCGGTCCTTTTGTTTGGTAGAGCATGGAACCGTGAAGTGAATTTCCAGGCCTTCATCGGAGTCGCAGCCGCCAGCGGTAGTGTGAAACACCAGGCATTGTCAATAGAAAAATGGCATGGCAGAATGGTTGATGCTTCAGCAGAGCAGAGCAACCTCATTTCATGGATGCATTTCCAAGTGTATGTGTTGGTCTTTCAAAATGCGTTTCCGACCTGCGACAAATGACCACAGTACTAGCCATTGATAGAATGTGTGTGTAGACACCGTTCCTTGGTCCTTGGTTCAAAAGAGAGAGTGGGAGTTTGCCTTGCTGTTCAAACATTGTTCTCAAGTATGCCCACCAAAGACAAACTTGTTTCTACCCACAGATTGCAAAACTAAATGATACTAAATGCATCTAAATGCAAGTAACTGTAGTAACTATTGTATTGTGGTTCCATATGCAATAGCGTTTCATGTATGATGGATGTTGTAAGGGTTCATGTTACTAAGTTGGGTGCCTTTGTTTATCTATGTCCTTGTGCGCCGACGACAACAAAGGGTGTCATGGCATCAAAGAAGAAGAAACATAGTAATATGTATTTTTTTTGTGACTCCAATTGGATGTCACACTGGTAGCTCCTATCCTACACAAAACTACCTACCAAGGGTCCCTAACCCACTGCGGCCGCACGGTTATTTCCAACCTGGCGTCTAAGAGTCCGCTCTGCCTTGAGCCATCGTTGTGATGGCGTACATGTCATCTGGAAGGTGTTGTCCGTGCTTCGATCGACTGCTGGTTTTCACACCGGTTCTATTTTTCTATTCGAGATGACTCTGTCGCTTGCTTACGAAAGCCTTCTGCCCATCTTTCACCATACTTGCGATGTGCATTGGTGTTCAGGGTGCTTGTCTCATCAAAAATTCGGAACTTTCCTATGGATAGAACTGTTCGAAGAAAACTGGCATCCAGTGGTTTGGTTAGGCAATCGGCTAACATAATAGCAGTAGAAATCCATCTGCATTGAGTATTGCTTTCGGCTTGTTCTTTGATTTGCATAGCTTCTATTGTTGTCCTCCACTCCTGACAATTCGGCACTGCAAGCTTGGTTACAAGATCAAACAGGGACTTGCAATCGGTGATAAGCAGTGCTTTCTTTTGATTGGCTAAGGCTTTCTCTGGTTTCTGCCATTGACATGTGGGGTCATTTACATAGCTCCAGAGGCATCTTAATGTTGGATCCTGATTAGTAAAGGGGGGTCCCTCCCCCCTCAAACAAACAGGGAGACCTCTATAATAAACTATCACCAAAACAAATCTGGATTCCTGGTGAGGGATCTTTTGTAATTGATTGTAGTATTCATTTTCCTTTCATAGATTGTATTCAGCTTCCTTTCTCAGGTGCTTTGTAATTGTTCTCAGCAATCCTTTTGCTTTGCAGCCTCAGATCTTCAGCTCAAGAGAAGCCCCAAGCTTTCATTGGCCTCAGGAGCTAAGTAAAGGGAGATTCCATGTGCATTTTTTCCAGTGGAAAAAAACTTTTCACAATAGAGGTCCCAAAAACAAATTTATTATTGAGGATCAGGTGCCTTCCTGGTCTACTACCTTTAAAATTTGTTTAGGAGCAATGTTGTATAAAGGGTTTAATTGGGGAACTGGTGGTTTTGGTCAGCTGTCAGTTTTGAAGAAGCCTAGAGAAAGCTATATCAGCTAATGAATCATAATCATTGGCCTCAGGAGCCAAGTAAAGGGAGATTCCATGTGCATTTTTCCAGTGGAAAAAACTTTTCACAATAGAGGTACCAAAAACAAATTTATTATTGAGGATCAGGTGCCTTCCTGGTCTACTGCCTTGAAAATTTGTTTAGGAGCCATGTTTTATAAAGGGTTTAATTGGGGAACTGGTGGTTTTTGGTCAGCTGTCAGTTTTGAAGAAGCCTAGAGAAAGCTATATCAGCTAATGAATCATAATCATTGGCCTCAGGAGCTAAGTAAAGGGAGATTCCATGTGCATTTTTCCAGTGGAAAAAAAACTTTTCACAATTGAGGTCCCAAAAACAAATTT